TTCCTGGAAGAATGTCGGCTGGGTTTATTAACCATGTGGTAAGATTAGCATAGGAAAAAATTAGTATTTTGGAATTTTTTCACGAATCGTTCAAGCTATGCAAAATCGAAAGTTACCAATCGATAGAGCTCGTCTAGTTCTATTCTGGCACTGTCTGGCGCAGCTGGGGCAGCTTTGGCGCCGAATCTTGGCTGGATTTACTATCCATATGGGAAGATTTGCATAGGAAAAAACTAGTATTTTGGGATTTTTTCACGAATGGTTCAAGCTATGCAAAATCCAAAGTTACCAATCGATAGAGCTCGTCGAGTTGTATTTTGGCGCTGTCTGGCGCAGCTGGGGCAGCTTTGGCGCCGAATCTTGGCTGGATTTACTCGAATATGAGGCTAACTTCACCTACGTCAGATTTTTCTTTTCAAATGGCTTCTACTTCATCCTCAACACCAAAAACCGGTGATGCTGAATTTATCAATACTGATGGTACATCTATTGAAACAATTCATGTGAAATTTAATGATAGTCAAATGGCGCGTTGTATGCCGGTAAGTTACAGTTTTTATATCAGAGTTAGGACGCAACTACATTTTCTAATTAATTTCTTCTGTTCTGCACGGCAGTTGTAAGTGGAAGGAGGTGATACTTAGAGCCAATAAACTATGAAACATGAACTAGAATTTCCCAAAAATCATACCTCAACACGTCGAGCTACTCTTACAATGTTAGGAAAATAAAAGCATCTGTTAGGCATACGTTCGATTTTCCACATCACTGTATTTAATTCCATGCGCCAAACAACTGTAAAAAGTTTCTTAAAAATTGTATGTCCGTATCGAAAATTGATTTTTAATGTAGGAGAATCTCCTTTAAAAAATAGAGATAATTTTCCTTCGTATGAACGGTACTTGATTTAACCAATAGGTTTTTCTGTTGGTTGAGTTGAAACAGAGAAAATAAAGAAACGGAGAGATAATTCACTCGTTCTCGTGCGATGAACTATGACCGAGCCAATGAAAGAATACCGGTCATTGTGTGCATTCCTGTTGATCGTCATCGCGTGTCTATATAAAGCAAAAATAGAGTACAATTGATAGTGTTTTTTCTTTTTTTAAATAGAAGCAATGGCTATCAGTGAGGTAATTATTTTGCCCCTTATATACCTATTTTTACGAATCATCACTTTTTTTTTATCGGATTCTTTAACCTCCATCTCTCTCATTATTTTTTAGTCCTTGAATGCAAAGATGGTGCAAATGCCAATATCTAAATCATCACAAAATAAATTAAAAGAATGTGAGTTATTTTTTTTAAAAACAATTAATGAAACAATGTTTTACATGTAGTTGTTGATAAAATAAAAAATATTTATCAAATCATTTTGGTTAAATTCATCGAAGGACCAAACATTGTCATGTTGCATATTGAGTAAGACAATTAAATAAAATAATTAAATGTATACATAATATTTTAGATTTGAAAATACGAACGATGCATCTGTTGTTCGAGATTTGATAAAAGAAAAGAAAAAAAAATTAGAATTAACTCAACAAATAAACGAAATCGAATTCGTCTAAAAGTCTAAACAACATTTGATTCATATTATCTTTTTTTTTGTACTATGCGTTTTTTTTTATTTAACCATATTTAATCAAGCAGTTTTCTTGTAAAAGTTGATTCTAGAAAGACAAGTTCATTTCATGTTATTTGATCACGTTTATTTTGCTCAGTATGAAGATAGAAATATTCTTCGAATAATTTTCCAACTGCATGTTCATCATTACTTGAAGAATATTATCGATAAATGAACGATTTTTTCGTAAATTTGTTATAGATTTTTCTTTTTCATGTTTAATGGATTGATCATCTTTAGAAAATTTTTCATTTGAACTGTTTGACACGAACTTTTTGTTATTCAGTGAAAAAGAAATAGGAAATAAAAACAAGTCATACTTCGTCTTTTCTGTTCATGAATATCCCCAGGTGAAGGAATCATATTGTATGATCTTATACGATTCTTACAAGATCATATAAGAACCTACGTCTGATCTTTCATGATCATACAAGCTCAGAAGAAAATCATATATGATCTTGAAAGATTCTATATGTCCACCTCAAAGCCACATTTCTGACAGAATCATACTGTACGATCTTATATGATCCTAGTGACAGATCTTATAAGATCTTACAAGATCCATGTATGATTTCCCAAAGTTGCATACAAAAGTGAAAAAATTATTTTTTCTTTTTTGCTTTCTGTGGCCTTCATCTCTAAGGATTATTTCGTCTTCAACTCACTGAAAGCATACAACAGAATACGAAATTTAAGTTAAATTTAAGTATTTATTTCATTTGTTGCATTTATGTGCGCATAAATGCATCAAATAAAATTATTTATTAAATAAAAGCTTACTGTTTCGTCTAATCGTCGATATTATCTAAAACACAATCATACGAATAATTTTAATGAAATAAATACTCACTTAATTTGAATACAGCATTAATATTATGTAATATAAAAAACAATTTAAATTAAATGAATAAATAAATAATTCCATTGTTTTGTCTAGTAGCCAATACTATCTAAAATAAAAAGAAATAGACAATTTAGATTAAATAAATACTTCTTTTTTTGGCATTGATCGTTGATATAATCTAAAATAAAATTCAAAGATAACATAAATTAAATGAATATTCACTTTATTTGGTCTAATCGTCGATATTGTCTGAAGTAAACAAAACACAATTTGAAATAAATAACACTCACTTTTTGGATTCATAGTTGATGTCATCTAAAACCAAAACAATTCAAATAAAATAAGTACTCATTTTATTTGAATGAAGAATTGACATTTTCTTAAATAAAAAAGAAATTGAGATTGGATAAATGGCTCATTTTTTCGTGTATTGATCGTTGATATTGTCTAAAATAAAAACAAAGACAATTTAAATTAAATGAATACTCACTTTATTTGATCTAAACATCGACATTATCTAAAATAAAAATAATTGATCATTTAAATTAAATAAAACTTTTTTTGCGATTTGGTCGACGACATCATCTGATATAAAATAAAATATAATTTAATTTAAGTACTTATTACTCGATATTCAATTAAAAAGTATAAAAAGTCCAATACGAAAGATAGAAGTCGTTCTATCAATGGAATTGAAAAGTATGTTCAAGTTAGAATCAAAGGAATCAATTTGATAAGAATAGGAAAACATTATTAATATATTATATTTTCTCACTTGTACCTATTTCATACCAGATGAATGTTATATTTCTACTTATGGAAGATAATTTAGTCGTATCAGTGGTGTACCACTATCTACATTCAAATAACTTGAACTATTGTTTAATGGTAATTCTTGTTCTTTAACAAATCTTTCCAACGTAAAATATGTATTATGATTCACATCTTGTAAATATTCATCGTGTAAGTATTGATCACAATTTGCGATAATAGAAGTACCTTTACCATTTGTATTATTGTGCGAAGTACTAATTGAGTCACTCCATTTAAATTCATCATTTTCTTCCGTAGCTGAGGAACGATAAGCTGCTGAAGTAAAACTTTCAATAATATTGTTATCTAAATCAGTATGATATTCATAGTTGTCATAGTTGTCACGTTGTAAGTTTAATCTCCTCTTCTTTTTCTGACGACCTA